CGTTACATGCACTCAAAATCTTGTCTTAGATATTGTCCACTTAGTTCTTTGTAACCCAAATATGATCATAACGTGAATTCAGTTGGCTTGGGGATAGCAACCATGAAAAATGGGTGGGCGGTTGGAAAGATAGAACAAGATTGTTAGAGCATGTTTGGCAATTTGGTCAGAATGGATTATAATCCACTTTCTTGGGAATATAATCCACTTTTGCATATTTGGTATCCACATTTTGAGTGGATTATTTTGGATTATAATCAACCAGCAAATAACCTATGATTCCTAGTTTTCTCTGGTGGATTATAAGCCCCATGTTTGACTGAGTAAATACCAAAACGCCTACTACTCTTTCCATCCCTTTCTTTCTCTCGTACTTCTAAGAGCATTTTGGTCATTTTACAAAAAGCATATGAATTATAAACTACTCTCTTTGACAAACACCTAAAGTTTTAATCCGGTTGGGTTATAGTCTACCAATGAATTATAACCCAAGTGGATTATAATATAGGGACTAGGATTGCCAAACATGCCCTCGATATGAGAGATCTCCTATGTTTTCTTTCCATTCTGCATCATTTGCTTCACCAGGTGCTATTATTAATGCTATTTAATGCATTTGATGTGTGGTCCATTTAATGCTATATTTCATATGGTTCTCTTCCCATTTTTTTACTATTGCTTCACCTATATATATGGATGACATGTAAGATACCTTCACAAGCATGACATCAGAAGTAGTTGTCTCTTGGTGTTTTTGTAGAGTTCGTGGACTGTTGTTTTTGAACTATTTTCTTTGACTAGAAAGATTGGATAATATCTTCAAGGTCAATTTTTCTATTTTTCTTCAGATATCCTGTATTATTTTTGGCTTATAGACCTCATGTGTACTGCAAAATTGCAAATCTTTTTCTTATTGATCATACTTCATGCTAGTCAAAAAGTCCCAATTGATGGTGGAAATAATTGGGTGCTTGATGTACTTTAAATTAAGGGTAAATTGCATCGGGCTTCCCAAAAATAAGAATTTGAGCATAAAACTCCCTCATCTTTTTGGGCAAGCATAAGACTCCTTTGACCCAAAGAACCATGCATTCACCCCCTAGCCCATGTAACTTTTTATAAAATTCCAAAAGTACCTTTTTCGTTTTCTTTTTGCCTCTTTTTCTCTCTTTTTCCCTGCTTTCCTTCATTCTCATTTCTTCCATGAACTGATAGACCTCTCGTCTTCAACCTCTCTCATCTCTCCTTTCTCCTCTTTCATGTTCTTTCTTTCTTCATTCTTTTTTTCTCTCATTTTTGCTTCTTTTATTATCTCTGATTTTCCTTCTGATTTATCCTATGGACCCATGAACCTCTCTCATCTCCAATCTCGTTATCTCTTCTCCTCTTCCATCTTCTCTCCTCTTCCACCACTAAAATTTCCTTCGCTATCACCTATTTTGTATGATGTCATCATTTCTCCTCCTTGTCATCCCCTCAAGAATATCTCAAGAGTTATTTCCATCCACCACGTCATCGTCATCATTCGCTAAAGTTGTTGCTTTATTATTTTTTATCTTATTAAATATTAGTGCACTGCTAAAAATGAAAAATGATGTGAGGGAAAAATGTTAGAACATGACGAGATTGATCAATTTTTCCTACTATGAATTAATTTATCATTGTACCAGTAATATCCAAATTAATACATTTAACTTTTGACTTTGTTAAAAAAGAGAAGAACAAAAAACAAAAAACAAAAAACAAAAAAAAGAATTTAATGATAATTATCTGTGGCAAAACAAAAAGTATTGGTCGTGGAAGGAGGGGGGGGGGTGCGAAAATTGTTACCTTTAACAGTTTCGTTCATAAAACTGTCAAGGAAGGTGACAGGAGTACGTAAGAGGGTAGATGGTGAGGAGAAGTGGTGGTGGTTGAGGAAGCAGGGAAAATGGAGAGAGTTTGGAGAGAATTATTACTCTTATATTTTTATTCAGGAACTATTACATTTATCTAAAACTTCTTTTTTTTTTATTAAATTGTTGCATTTTACGTTCATCAAATCTATGCTACGTAATGTTACTTTTGATTATGACTTGTTTTTCATTTTCTATAAAATTGTTGTTGATTTTTCATAAGATGTTACCAGCGTTCATAAAACTATTACTTATTGTACATAATATGTTTCCTTTATTTTTTAAACCGTTACCTTTGTTCATAATAAAAGTGATTTCTATTGTACATAAAATGTTACCTTTATTTTTTAAACTTTTATCTTTATTCAACTATTATATATAATAGGTTACCTTTATTTTTTGAACTTTTACCTTTGTTCATAAAATTGATACCTATTGTATATAGTAGGTTACCTTTATTTTTTAAACTTTTACATTTGTTTATAAAAGTTTAATCTTATTGATTAAAACCTTTTGCATGCTCAAGTCTATGTTATGAAATGTCGTATATGTTCATAGATTGTTATATATGTTCACAAATATCTACCTTTGTTAATAAAATTTTTTGTCACTGTTTTAAAAAACCTCCGCCTAGTCCGCTTAGGCGTACGCCTAGGCCTAGGCGATACCTAGGCCGTCTAACTAGCGTCTAGCACCTAGCGCCTAGGCGGTATTTATGCTGCCCACCTAGATTTTACGAATGTTTAGGGAAGCATTGTCTGTTTACGTGGATTGCACCATGTAGGCCTTGGTTGTGATTTTATATGTTGTAGCCTACATATCCTCCAAACTCCATTAACCTTCAAATATGAACACCTCCACTACCTCTGACCTTCAGCAAAACCTCATCGACCACCACTTAAATGAAGAAAAAAATCCGCCTAAACATCATTCCGGCATCTAAGTTTTTTATAATGTTGACATTCACTATCAATTATTATAATTAAAAATAAAAAAAGAAAACATCTTAGGCTCTAGCCTTGTTAATTATTATTTTGGCTATTTAGTATCTAAATATGCATAATTTATTGTGGAACTAATATTGTTATCTTTTTTTAAAAATTTATATGAATCTAATACATATTTTTATCAATTATTATAATTAAATAATTTAAAAATAGTCAAAAGCCTAGGCGTACGCCCAAGGGTCTAGGCGGTAGGCGCTCGCTCAAACGTGTAGTCTGCCTAGCATCTTCTGTAACATTGTCGAGCTCCCCCGATCTCTGTAACTACTAATAAGGTAAATAGTACTTCTTAAATATCCATTTAAGTTAGTTAACAACAATAACTTAAACTTAAGAAGGGTAAGTTAACAGTAAGTTTAAGTTTAAGTTAAGTTTAAGCTAACAGTAAACTTAAGTTTAAATTTAAGTTTTAAGTTAATATTAAGTTTTTTGTTGATGGTAAACTTAAGTTTAAGTAAACAATAAACTTAAGTTAACAATATTTTAGTTAACAATAAACTTAAGTTTAAGTTTATTGTTAACTTAAACTTAACAATAATTTATAAGTTAACAGTAATTTGAGTTGAGAATGAGTTTTTCACTGTTGAGATGAACTTATAATTTGAGTTGTATCTTCAAGTATCATAATTAAAAAAGAAAAAAAAAACGACCAGAAACCGCTTAGGCGCCCGCCTAAACGACTAAGTGCTGGACACCAAGTCCGACGCCTAGAAGCGCTCAATGTTTAATGTAACATTGCTTTTTGTCTATATTCATAAAACGATTACTTCTATTCATAATATCATTACCTTTGTTGATTTTAGATGATGCTATTTCTACGGATTATGCTATAAAATGTTATTTTTCTTCATAAACGGGTGAAGATGCAGTGTAGAGACATGACGGAATATAAAGAGAGCCAGCAGAGGGAAGAGAGAGTCCGGAGGAGGAGAGGAGGTAAAAGGAACAAATGGATGGAGGAGGAGAAGAATAGACTATGAAGAAGGAGAAACAGAGGTAGGGGAGGAGGAGGAGGAGAGATAGTGGAGGAAAGTCATGAGACAGAAGCCTAGACGACGAATGAGAAGAAAGGGAGGTGGGGGAGGAGGAGGATGAGAGATAGTGGAAGAAAAAAAATATGGGATGGAGGACCATGATAGATGTCAAAGAAGAAGAAAGAGATGGGGTGGAGAAGGAGAAGGGGCGGACAAGGAGGAGAGGTCACAATAGAAGAGGAGAATAGATGGCGGAGGAAAAGGAAGGGAAGAAGGGAGGAGAGGATGAGGCGAAGGAGGATAAACGATGAAGAAGAGAGAGGAGTGCCGGTAGAGGAGAGGCATCGGTGACATTAAAAGATAGGCAATGATGGAGGAAAAGACAATAGTAGAGGAGGAGAGAAGATGAGAGACGAGAGAGATGAAAATGAGATAAGAGAAGTGATGTGAGAGAGGTTCATGTGTTCATGGGGAAATTTGAAGGAAAAAAGGAGGTAAAAAAGGAAAGAGAATTTTAAAAATGAAGAGAGAGAGAGAGAGAGAGAGAGAGAGAGACTCGTGGATTCATGAAAGAAATGAGAAGGAAGGAGGGAAAAAAGAGAGGTAAAAAGAGAACGAAGAAGAAGGTACTTTTGAGAGTTTTTGACAGTTCACCTAAGCTAGGGGTAGAAGCATGGTTGTTTAGGTCTAAGAAGTCTTATGCTTGCCCCCCTAAA